TTTGCTGGGTGACATAACGATATTGTCAATACTTGGTCTTAATCCAGATTGAAATGGATCCAGGTAATCCTTTTGGTTCAAGAGTACCTGGAGTTGAATCTAAAGTACTTTGTTCCATGCAGGGGAATGCTGTTCACAAACAACTGTGTCCTTCAGTTTATATCTTTGCCAAGAAATAATGCTCTCTGGGATACGTATCAGTTTGTAAATGTCCCTCTTCTCCTGTCCTGTACAGTTTATTGTGAAGGTCCTTGTAAGAGAGCTGCTAATTTAGTAGCTCCATGTTCTCTGAGATTTCAGGGCCAAAATCTGAGACTAAGTAAAATCACAACAGGCAGTAGTCTGCGTGTCATTATCTTCAAAACAACCTCTGTGCATGCAATACACTCACAAAATATGTGCTGAGGAAGAGGGCCCATCTGTTGTCAAGTTGGGTTCAACTTATGGCAACCCTAATAGAATTTTCAAGGTGTGCAAGACGTTTAAAGGGTAGCTTTACCAATGCCACCCCACTGTGAGTTTGCATAAGCAGAGGTTTGAACTCAGGTTTCCAGAATCCTAGTTACTCTCCTGAGTCCTAGTTACACAGCACTGTATGAGCTTTCAGGAAGATAGCCACCACGGTGTTAAAGCCACCGCACAATAAAACGAAAAGTTCTCCTGCTCCTGAGATTTGCCTCCCCACGTCCAGTCTTTCAACTATTTCCCTGAGACCTGGCAACCCTATAACTGTATCTCCAAGGTTTGCAGAAGACCACAGGTTTACCTTCTTCAGTTTGGTAATAGTGAGGGTGAGCCAAGGTACAGTCAGGTGACATGAGGTCTCCTCTACCTAATATGTCTCTGCATGTGTCAGAGTCATGCATGCTTAAATAGATGGAAGTGTTGCACTGCCAGTCCAGATGGATTGAATGCAGGGCTGCTGTGGTCTTCAACAACACTCTTTTGCCCGTCAGCATGTATTCTTCAGAATACAAAAGGAATACAGGGAAGAGCAGGAAAACAAGGATCTTGATGATGGTATCATGAGCAAATGTGAATAGTAAGGTACAGAAACATATAAAAGGAGAGTGTATGTATTTGTGTGCGTGTTTGTGTGACCAAGGTAAAGAAAGTTGACTTCATTATTTTGTAGTAAACAGTCTACAAGGACCTTTTGTAGTCTGGGGATGAATGAAAGAATTGCACCCTGTTTTGTTAGGACAGTCTTCACCAGGCCATCAGGTGGTTTTGAGAGGCCCAGTACATCACCTGGTTATTTGACTCTTGACCTTCCTTGATGATTCAATCTACCGAGGTAGAACTGATGGTTAAAGGAAGTCATAAAGGCTTCTTTAGAGGACAGGGCTGTATTTATGATCTACAGGAAGTAGCCTTAAACCATCTATTTAAGAAACCCGCCCTTGACCTAGGGGCCTTGACCAGTTGTCCCTCCTCTTGGATTTACTAAATTTGGCTGGATTTGCTCTGGAAGGCATGTATTACAGTGGTTCCAGTCCTACCTATTTGGGCATATACAAGATATGGCACTGAGGGATCCATGTTCTGTGCCATGATCTTTGGTATCTAATATCCTTATGGCTCTACTTTGTCCCTGATATTATTCAACATCTATGTGAAACCACTGGAACTGGCCATTCAGTGGTTTAGAGTGAGGTGCTTTGCTGCTCTTTCCCATTTAACAGCAAAGAAGCAGTCAATACAGTATTACCAACCTGGTCTGGGCTCCACAGTGGGCTAAATGAGGATCAACAAACTGAGATTAAAAAGCAAAAGAGCAAAGTATATGCTACTTATATACTGCCCCACAGCACTTAAAGCACTCTCTGGGTGGTTGACAATTTAATTATGCAGGCTACACATGGCCACCTGCCCCCAGTAGGCTGGGTACTCAATTTAGCAACCTGAGGAGGATGGAAGACTGAGTGAACCTCAATCCAGCTACCTGGGATTGAACCCCAGGTCGTCAGCACAGTTTTGGCTGCAGTGCTGCAGTTGAACCACTGTGCCGAGAGGCTCCCGACAAAACAGAGGCACTGCTGTTCAATAGAAAATCAAGCTCCGGGGTTGAGATTCAACCTGGTGCAGGAGAATCTGCGCTCCCCTTGACAGTTCACATCCATCATCTGAGAGCAGTCCTTGATTGCTGATTTCCAAACAGCAGCACTGGCAAGTGTGGTTTCCACAACTGCACTTAATGCAGCAGATAATGGCATCTTTCCTGAGTCTGCCCAACTAGGCAATAGCCATCTCTGCATTGGTTACCTCAAAACATGTTCATGGGCTACCATTGAAGAAGATCCAGGAACTGCTAGTGCTGTATTTAGCTGCTGGTGCACACACACTCAGGATTGCATGATCCCGGTGCAAAAAGACCTGTACTTGTTTCCAGTTGTTTCTTGGTTGCTCGTTTCGAGCCAGCTGTTAAGGGCCTGGCTGGACTCCCTGTCTCATTGAGAACTGGTCCAGATGCTCATGTATTTAGAAGAAGAGCTTTCTGGGATGCCCATAATTGCAGAGACCCAGCTGATGTGTATGCACTAGGGAGACAGCCCTTTCGCCTGTGGTATTGCCTGCCTCGTGAAATGCAGTCCCTTGAGACACAACCAGTTTCCATTGTTGCTGCTTTTAGCAAGGTGTGGCAACGCATCTTGTTAAACTGTCTTATGAAATGTCTTCATAGGGATTGTGATGAACTTTCGCGATTTATAGATTAAGCTGATTTGAATGAGGCTCTTCAGCATTAGATCATTGCCCACCTCTTTCTCACATTGCGGGGGGGAAAATGCTTCAGCTCCTCAGGAGGGAATTCTTCATGACTTTTATCGACGTTCAATTCGCATCTGAGGAATTTTTGGTTAAAGCAAATAGCTGTATCATTAGAGGCCTATTTGTTTTCCATACGATCACTATATCGCAACACCCCAAGTGAGATGTGGCTTCGCTTGTTTAAGAGATCAGATAAGGTTGCATGCTAGCCCCCATCTTTAACATTTGTTGTTGATTTGCTACAGCTAGCGAATGTGTTAGATTTGCATCCCCCAAAGCTTGCTGCAATAAAGATTTATAATCTTTTGAATGCAGATGACACAGTGCTGTTTCTTAGGTAGATTGGGGTTTAATAAGCCAGTTTGCTAATCTTGGGGTTTATTTGGGAGTTAACCAGTCAACTGTTTGTTAAAGGGAAATCTGAAGTATTGAGTTGTTTCTTTTTTTAATTGATGTATATGGAAAATAGACACCCATCTGGTTGAAGACATTAATTCTTACAATTATGGGTGTATCCACATTCATGGAGCCTCTGGATGAGCAATGTATATGAAGTTAGCCGTCAGAGCTCAACTCTGCTAAAAATTCATATCACACTTCTTGCTGAGCAAAGTGAGTAGGGTTGTTGTTGTTTGTATCCGTCTACTGAAAATATGGACAGGGTCATCGAAGCTACCAACATGAATTTGACCCAACTCCGGGAAGCAGTGGAAGATAGGAGGGCCTGGCGTGCTCTGGCCCATGGGGTCACGAAGAGTCAGACACGACTAAACGACTGAAAATATGGGATATGGCGTATTGTTTAAAGTGATGAACTTAGGATTTCTGGCTTCAAATCCTGGCTCTGCCATGGATGTGTAGAACTGGTGTAGAACTGGTAAAACCACTCCTTAAATATCTCACTCACCGTGGTAGCCCTGTTAGGGTCACTGATTTGACAATACATAGCAACTAAAAAGGTTCAGTTCTCATTTTTGCAATCTTATTTTGGGAGCTCCTAAATTTCTATCTGGCTGTGTTATTAACCTACAAATGGTTTATGCTAATGGACACGTCTGGTCTAGAGTCATGTCCTGTGCTTCTGGAATGGCTTATCCGACAGTGATTCAGTAGCCTGCTGTGTCTTTCACACTGGGTGGGACCCTACACCTCCTCTTCATCTCAGCATAGTAGATCTGCATAGGTCCAACAGGCAGAATTCATTAGCTCTGTTGTCCTGTCACATCAGAACTAAAAATTTCCCTCAGTAACAAAGATGCTCCTTAAATAAAGTGGCAGTGCCTCTGTATAGGAGAGTTTTCTTCTTAGCACGAGTCAATATTTATTTATTTATTTTAACTTATATGCCACCCACAATACCCAAAGGTCTACCGAGATATTGTAACCTCATTTGTGATGGGACAGTGTTTCGTTTGACCAGAGAAGATGTCCATGTGGTGCTGAAACTGCTGGGCCCATAACACATACATTCTTTTTTTGTATTGCAGTTTTATGAGGGTACAAGAGAGTTAACACTGTGCCTCTTCTTGGTGCCATTTCTTGTCAAAGCTGATACGGAGCTTTTGGGGAAATGTCTAAATGGGGGAATTCCTGTCCCAAACGTTGTAAAATGTGTATTCTCGAAGGCTTTCATAGTCGGGATCTGATGGTTGTTGTAGGTTTTCCGGGCTGTTTTGGCCGTGTTTTGAAGGTTATTCTTCCTAACATTTCGCCAGCCTCTCTGGCCGGCCTCTTCAGGGGACAGGAGTCAGAATTCTGTCTGTGCGCTGATGCAGTTTTGTGGAATAGTTGAGTATTTATAGCTGCGGGATCAGCTTTTGTCCTTTTCAGGAGATTGGGTGATTATGGTGATCAGCGTGTTTGTTGTTGTGGGTGTATTGTTGTGATAAGGGGGAGAGATCATCTGTCACTGTGATTGATGAGTGTTGTTAGCTGGTCTTTTGTGTGCAGTGATCACCGGTCCTTTTGTTAACCTTTTGCAGGCTGTATTTTTCAGTGCTGGGAGCCAGGCTTTGTTGAGTTTTAGGCTTACCTTTTTAAAAAAAAAAAAAAAAGTGTAGTTGCTTCCATTGCTTTGTTTTATGAATACACATCAGTGTGGGGGGAACACATCTGACGTCTTGATTTCAATGGGAACCCAATTCAGCTGAGTTAGTCTGATTCTTCCAAACCATTAAATATGTGATAATAATACATAAAACATGCTGATTTGCTGTCTCTCATCTTCCTAGTCAGAATGAAACACATATTAACAGTCTTGAACAGCTGGTTTTGGTGGGAAAACATCTGGATGCCAGCAAACTGTTCGTGGACAAACTTTGACGACCGCAGTGGATATGTCTTTCCAAAACCACAGCAGTTATTTGCCACAATTCCTTATGCCTTCGTAATGTTGGCTATCAGATTTTTTGTTGAAAGGTGAGTCGCCATGATTTATTTTCTTCAAATCTTCTTCCATCCTAAACTCCAGGAATACATAGAAGTGGGAAATTATATTGTAATCTACGTGCCTATACAGTGGTACCTCGTTCTGGATTAAACTTCGCTATAGCGAAACATCGCTAAACGGAATAAAAAAAGCCATAGAAACGCATTGAACTTCGTTCAATGCGTTCCTATGGCTTTAAAACTCACCGTTAAGCGATGTTCCTCCATAGCGCATTTTCGCGCCCTCAGTAAGCGAGGGCAGGGCGCGAAAATGCGGCACGGACCTTCCGGCGGCCATTTTGGAACCGCCGATCAGCTGTTCTCCCCCGCTTTGTTATGCGATATTCGCTAAGCGAATCGCTTAGCGAATATAGCAAAGCGAAAATTTGCCATAGGGGCCATTGCTGAGCGAATGCTCCAGCGATGGCCCAGAGCGCCTCGTTAAGCTATTTCATCGCTCAGCGAGGCGCTCGTTAAGCGAGGCACCACTGTACAATACAGTGACATACAGTAGTGTTCGTATTTAAAGCATAGCTTTACAACACCATTGACATAATGAAGCCCATGCTCAGTGTTCCATCATCCTGTCCTATCATGGCACTTGGAGCAGGGGAGTATAGATACAAGGGTCAACTTCGACACTCAGATCATGTAAGGCTGGGAAGTAATTGCATGCAAATATACCCTGTATTTTAGCATTGTTCTGAAATGCAACCCATTTCCCCCTGTACCCTATGGAAAAAGTGGTTATGCTTTTTTAAGGAAATGTCTCCCTAAGTAGCATTTTAGTTTATGACTTTGCAGGGTTGGCTAAACCTACTGATCACCTGATAGTGAGGTCAGTTTCCAGTATCATTTTTTTAAATACCATAATCTGTGTCTTTTCAGATGCATTGCTATCCCTCTTGCAAACATTTTGGGGATAAAGAATGTGCGGCGTGTGAAGCCTCAGCCTAACCCCACCCTAGAGACGTTTTTCAAGGAGTGCTCCAAAAAGCCGTCGCAGGTAAAAAAAAAAGAAATCCATCTCTTTCTCTCTTCTGAAAACCAATGTGTCCCATATGTCATGTGTGTGTGTGTGTGTGTGTGTGTGAGACGCTCGGCATCAGTGTCTGTTTACTTTAGCTTTATCCCTCTTTTCAGCCAAAACAAACATTCAGCTTATTGTTCAAATCCAAGACAGTGTACAATTAAAATACAATACAATGTAATGAAAGCTAACAAATTGGAGCACATGTGGAAAGGGTATGTTTGCACTCTCTCTTCTAGCATTCTAAAAAAAGAGAGAGTCCTACTAATGCTGCTCTTTTCCAACGGCACATAAGTTCTGGCTATGAGGTTCCGTTTTTCCTCTCCTCTTCCTCCCCTTCTCCCTGCTGATCCTAAGCCCTCGAGGATGAGCTGGCTGCACCTCCCCATAGAAATTTCGACCCAAGAACTCTGTTAGGGGATCAAAACTTGAAAAACTTAAAACCTTTTATATCAAAAGGCTGGTATGAGTGAGAGAAGCAGAGCCTTCCCCTCTCTCCGGGGAGGAGAGGGCGGCTAATGAGAAATAAAGCGTTAAAGTCCATGACGTTCAGAGAGGTAAGGCAGATGGTAGAAAAGATCACTTCACATTTCCTTCATCTTCTCACTGATGCTGTTCGCAGAAAGATATCAATTAAATGAGACAAGAGGGGAAATGAAGACTTAAAATTGTAAATCGTATAATGAAAATCTTAGAACTGCAGAGCTGGAAGGGACCCTATGGATCGGCAAGTCCAGCCCCTCAATGAGGGGAATCGAACTCCCAACATCTGGCTCAACAGCCAGATGCCTAAAGCACTGAGCTATCTAGCCGTTCAAAGAGAGGTGTCGGGGGTCCAGTCACTGGTTGACAGCATTAGGTGGATTTGATTCATGAAAAGTGCAGTTTAACAGAACCCACAGAATAGAATAACGTTCTGTATCTATTTTTACACTAAGACCCCTACATATATTCAGAAGGATCCATTAATGAAATGCAAATTTTGCTGAAACATTTCTCTTGCCAGCATAACCTTTTCATTCCACAACATTTAGGATTTAGAATACTACATTTGTCATATTTTAATTGAAGGACAGGCATGGGGAACCTGTGGACTTCCATTTTTTTGGTGGATTTCATCAGGGCTAACCACCTTGACTAACAATAAGCAATAACTGGAATGGCGCAACATGTGGAAGGCCACAGGTTCACCTATATATATATAAAAAATACTGTCTAGGGCCACCAATTGCTCATGGTCCCTATTAAGGGTTATGTGTGTGTCTCTCTCCCCATCCCAGACCAGTGACTGCTCCAATCTATCAAGTGAACCACAGAGCAAACAGTTTCTCTCGGTGCTGGAATTTGCATTTGTAATCAAATTGATATTTTGAATTTATCATTTATAATTATTCATCATGAGTAAACAGACTCTGCAACCCTCCACGCCCTTTATACTATTATCTTTTCCTCTTGGCATCGTTCATTCGCGAGATCACAACCTTTTAATCAGTACGGTTTAATTCAGTGTTAAGTAACCTTGTAATAATCACAACCCTGCCATCACCCTACAGACCATTGCCTGACTTTGTGCGTGCTGAGCTGGGCTTAGCAGTCACATTCAGTCTATAATGAGGCACCCATGAAAATGATTGGAAAAGGCAATGTCTGCATGGCCCCAAAGTGTCTGGAATCCAGAGCACAGAACAGACTTTCCCCCGAAAGAAATACCAGACGATGTCACCTAACCAAAAATCTCTGTGCTTGACAAGCCCATATTTCCACCACCGCTCCTCCCTGAGGATGGCTCACTGTTGTCCTCAACACTCAAAGGTGCCTGTTCGGAAACCATAAGCGTGATGGGTAACTCCTCCAGATGTGCTGGGCGTCACCTCCCCAAAATAACAGCCAGTGTGATGAATATTGGTAGGAAATTGCCAATCCCAAAATAGCAGGAAAGCATCAGGTCTCTCTTGGCTCCTGTCATGGAACTGCATGATGTCTCAGACATCACAAGCTTCTAGAAGGGGTACAGCCCCATTAAGTCCAATGGCTTCTACCTTTCTAAACTCTTGATTGGGAAGAAGAGTAGGTCCAGGGGGCCATTTCTAGAGCAAGGGTAGGATTCATGGGTTTCTTAGGCTGTTCTTATCGCCCCATTCATTGCTCCAGTCACAGCCCACATCTTAAAAATAAATGTCCAGCAATCATCCAGGAGTAGAAAATTGTCTTTTAAACAAGTTGCAGGCTACAACCATTTTTCAAACCTATAAAGAGACTTCCGACTCTTTTCAGTTGCATGTTCTCCCCTCCACCTGTTTGCCTTTGAGTGAAGACCATTGACGCAGTTCTGGAGGCATCATGTGTACACTCTTGAAGCTTGCTCTCCCCTGGTCTGCCGCTTTGTGTTCATGAAGCAACACTGGAGCTTGTTAAGTTGCATCAGCCCTGAGTGTCACTTGGGGCTGTCCAGGGTCCTACTTTGAACCTGAAGTCTTATCTTGGAGCAGGTCTCCTGTTGGCTCCTTTGCTTGGCTTGGAACATGGAGGGACCTTATTACTGACCAGTTGACCAGAACAGAAGAAGATTGCAATTGAGCTGGACTTGTGAAGTGACCTTGCCTCCAGTGATTAAAGCCCATTCCGCTGAGAACTTGTTCTGAAACTATAAAATGAATGGCAGAAGACGTTCAGTACAAAATCGTTCACTTAGGTGACCTTGATTACATATCTAACTAGCCATAGATGAGCGGACGCTCTTGCAATTTCAAATCCGGCTCCTTCAAGTTTTTCAAGTGTGGTTGAATTTCACACTTGCTTTAACGACAGAATTGAGGAGAACTAAGCCCATTGCTGAAGTTTCTTAGACAAGATGCAGATATAACCACAGTAGTCCTATAAGGTTTCCTTATAAAAAGCAAACAGCACATGGACACCTGTGCTTTGTAGCAAGAAAGGACAGACAGAAGACAAAATTGAAAGCCAATACATGAAGAGAGAGTGTGTGTGAGTGTACACAGTATATATTGCTGATTTAACACACTAACCACTTTTATACCAGGCCTGTAAACAAGCGTGTTGTTGACCATGCCAGTCAACGTCTAATTCCACGAATTAACCAACATAACGCAGCCCACTTTAGGCATTTTAATTGGTAGATTATTCTGTTCATTGATCAACTGAATCGCTAGTAATGAAGCTTTTGTTGAGTAATGTACAGAGTCATCTACCAATTAAAGTAGATACAGCTTGTAACATTAAGCCTTACCCATTACAAGTGTAGAATGGAGAATGACATGGAAGAATTGTTATAATCTGCAATCATAATGCAGGAAATAAAAGCTAGAGAGAAACATATGTCTCCTTATGAATTAACACATTTAATACCATAGGCTTTTGTGGATTAGCACCCTTTTACCTCCATGCATCAGGTGGGCCCCAGTCCATGAAGATTTCTGCCATAATAAATTTGTTGGACTAGTGTCATCTTGAACTGTTTTGCTGCATAAATATCAGTGTGTGGCATTACATGGGAGTTACATGGGAGCATGCAAAGGGGATATACATGCCCACTGCTCCAACTGAACAACGTTCTCAGTCAACTTTTATTCCTTGGTTTTGTGGCAACAGACTGAAGGGGATACCTATTTGGAGAATAGGCTTCAAAAAGGGATAGCCTTAAAATTGAGACAACTGCTTCGTAATGCTAGAGTGCACAACCACCCATGGATCACCTGGATCTGTGGTTCTCCAACTTGGGTACCCAGATGTTCTTGGACTGCAATTCCCAGAAGCCTTCACCACTTGCTGTGCTGGCCAGGATTTATGGGAGTTGCAGTCCAAGAACATCTGGAGACCCATGTTTGGTGACCTAGATCACCAGCATTTTGAGAAATGGAAAAGAATGGACACGGACATGGTGGAAATCTGGTTTTGAGTTTAAATACTGGATGGAGACCCTTTGACTTGTTTAAAAGGTGAATCACTGCTCTTGGACATGTTACTTTTTTGTTGCTCTTGACAAAACATGGGGGTGTGTCTGATAAAGGAGTAGGGGTTACAGAAACAGCTGCACAGCAGTATTTTACTCATCCTTGACTGTGCCTTGTTCTGCCTCTTAACATGTTATTGATTTTCTGTGCTTCCTTTCCCCCACTAGTCAGAGATATGTGGATTAGCCAAGAAGTGCAACTGGACTGTGCACCTGGTGGAAAAATGGTTCAGACGACGAAGAAATCTAGAAATCCCAACTTTACACAAGAAATTCCAAGAAGCTTGGTGAGAAGAGGCAAAACTGCTCTCTGTGTGAAGCTTTTCGTTCTGAAAAAACTCCCTCTGTGTATAAAAATAACATGGCAGAAAGAAGGCTAGGCAAGGCTAGATCTGGTATTCCTGCAGTGTTGAGGAGAATGTGCTCTTCCAGCTGTTGCTGTAATACAACTCCCATCATCCCCCACCTTTTTCTGTTACGGGAGTTCTAGTCCAACTGCCTCTGGAGGTCACGTGTCTAAGGACTCATTTAGTGCATAGAAGAACATTTCATGGCGGGTGTCCCAATGGCACACAAGTGCTCTGTCCCCATCACAGATGTGCTCCCTTGGCAAGAACAAAGTTCTGGAGGTCCTGAATCGCTGAAGCTCTCAAACAGAGCTGGTGCTTGTTTAGCACGAGGCGGACTTCAGCTAAAATACTTATCTGAGGAATCGGTGTGAATCAGGTGTCAGTATGGAAGCTAATGTATTCATCATTCTGAACATTACGAATGGGAACTCTCCAAGCCTCTGCTCCACCTTATCTTTCATTCGAAGCTTGCCATTGGATGTGTATCTTTATCTTATGTCATTGCATTTCTGTAGTACAGAGTACAGTAATGGCTGTTTAATCCTCCCCTTGCTAGATGTTTCTGTAGTCCAACTTGAGGATGAAGATGGGTTGCTGTGACATTGTCCCTCAAACCTGTTCAGTTTCTTCCTCATCTTCATATGTATTGTTTTCCATTCTTAGAGGTGTCTAAGTGGTGCCTCGCTTAACAACGTTAATTCGTTCCAGCGAAATCGCTGTAGAATGAAAACGTCGTAAAGCGAAAATAAAAAACCCATTGAAACGCGTTAAAACCCAGTTAATGCGTTCCAATGGGCTAAAAACTCACCGTCCAGCGAAGATCCTCCATACGGCGGCCATTTTCGGTGCCTGTATAGCGAGGAATCAGTCCCTAAGCACAGCGGGGAGCCATTTTGAGCAACCAGTGGCCATTTTGAAAACCCGTTGATCAGCTGTTTTGATTGTCATAATGCGAAGAATCAGTTCCCGAAACAGGGAACCGATCATCGCCCAGCGAAATTCCCCCATTTAAAACGTCGTTTTGCGATCGCAATTGCGATAGCAAAAACATCGTTGTAAAGCGGATTCATCGTAATGCGGGGTAATGGTTAAGCGGGGCACAACTGTATAGGAAACTGCATTCTGTGGCTATATGTTTATGGGCATGTGACCTCTTTGTTCTGATCTTGTTTCTGCAGTTGGCGATTTTTATTCTACACGACATCATTTACTGCTGGAATTATATTTCTCTATGATGTAAGTTAAATGTGGGAATGAAAACAAAACTGCTGGTATACATATAGTGCAAGGCAAAAACCAGGGTCAATGGAGTCAGGCTTTTAATGTTTAGATCGTTTTTCCCCCTCCCCCCCAATATTCTTGGAGTGATAAGTGTATGTAACACTGAGATGTTACTGCTATTGTAGTAATGCTACCTCCTGCTGTTCGCTTTTATGCCATGTTACATTTCATACCCATTAATTTCATAGGTTTATGGTCTTATTTTCTTATGTTTATCTGCTTTAATTTTTATTGGATGTTGCCCTGAATATTCAAGTTACTGGGTAGCAGAGAAATATCATCCATAAATAATCAAATGATGATGCTGGGTCCTCGTTTTTAAAAAAAGTGGGAGATAAACAGACATTAGATGAACTTATAGGTAGGTAGGTAGCTTATTCAGTGTATTGGGATTTACTGGAAGGGAGGGAGGGAGCTAGCTATAGACGTCCAGTCCTAATTTATCAGCTAATAACTGCATAGCTTTTAAGAATATTTAAAAGCTTTGAATGCTCTTAAGATTTAGACGAAGTTAGATCTCTAGTGTTTAAAGTGATTTGGGCACTGATTATCTCAGTGATCCTGAAAGAATCCTGTAAAGAGCAGGTACTACTAGCTGCAGATAGAAGTTAGCTGGGACCAAGAAACAGCATGGCTTGTCAAACGCTACTTATGAGTTTGTGGCAGTTGTGAGAATGGAAGATCGATCTTCTGTGCAACCACCATCTTCTATCATGCAGAAAATAATACTCCTCCTCCGATTCTGACTTCTTCTAGAAACCATGGTTTCACGACATCTGGCAGGTGTGGGTGGACTATCCATTCCATGTGAGTATTGTTCATTCTCTTGGAAGACTGACGGCTTCTAGTTTGTGAATAAGTCTTCGTATCATTCTCTGTGATGGAGTCTGAAGGCTGGGTTGAGTTTCACGTGGCCCATGGGCAAAAGGGAAGAATGGTCATGAGAGACCCCTTCTGCCTCTCTCAAAAGGCATTATAACCAAAGGTACTTGCCAGTAAGGTAAAGGTTCCCCTTGGCATCTAGTCCAGTCGTGTGTGACTCTAGGGTGCGGTGCTCATTCCTGTTTCCAAGCCGTAGAGCCAGCGTTCTGTCCGTAGACTGTTTCCATGGCCAGCGCAACTAGAAACGCCGTTTCCTTCCCACCATGGTGGTGCCTATTTATCTACTTGCATTTTTACATGCTTTCGAACCGCTAGGTTGGCGGAAGCTGGGACACGCGACGGGAGCTCACTCCGTCACGTGGATTCGATCTTACGATGGCTGGTCTTCCGACCTTGCAGCACAGAGGCTTCTGCGGTTTAACCCACAGTGCCACCACGTCCCGTTCCTATTATTACTATTGCTTTTGCTACAACAATGACTACTACTACGTCGTTGTCGTAGTGGTGGTGGTGTTAATGCTTTTAATCCAATTTGTAAATAATTAAAAAAATACCCTGGGCTGGCCTTCTTTAAATATATATAATGCTACCATATACATGGAACCAAAGTTGACTCTCTGGTGAGAAATAAAGAAGGCTAGAGAGATAAATCAGTCGTTCCATGAAAAAAGCCAGCTTTGCGCAGGGATTTAATAGAAAAGAGCTCTCTCCCACTCCCGGGTGGGCATAACAGCCTTCTCTCTCGCTCCGTGATGGTTTGTCCCGTTGACTTACCATTCGCTCCTGATTACGTGATTTGTGTTTTCCCAACAGCCTTTGTTTATTAACAGGTGCAACACTTTCTCACCCATGCCAGAATACGCTGTTGTCCTTGTTATTTCGATTGTTGTCACCCAGGTAACGTTCCTCTCTCTTTGCAGTCTGTGTTACCATCCCAGTATTGGTACTACATGCTTGAGATGAGCTTCTACTGGTCGCTGCTGTTCACTCTTGGAATTGACACCAAAAGAAAGGCAAGTCCTCCCGCTAGCTGTTCTTTCGCCATCGTTTCTTCTCTTTCCAACTTGCTGTTCTTCGGTGCAAAGCTGCACATGGCCGTTGACCAAAGAAGGTGTGCAACAGTCGGGCATAATGGTCACCGTTTCTTCCTGAAAACTGCAACTAGTGGATTTTTCAGAAGATGCAGGGCTTAAACAGCGACATCCTTGGATAATGTAGATTTCAGCTGCATAGCAAGCCATCTTGCTGGCTGATGCAAAGCGCAAAGTGACAGCCCCTTCTCCACCCTGCATAGAGAAGCTTGCTGGACGAGCGGCTGATGGTTGGTTGCTTCCACACTGACAACTGGATCGGTTCCCTTCTTCCAACGTCCGGAAGCAGCAGGAGAATGTTGGCAGTGCAGAACAAGCCGTAGGCTGCGCGCAACTCTGTCTTCCAAGAGAGGGGAATGATTGGGAGACCCAAGGGGATCTGCTGGAGGGTTTTCTGGTGCCTCTGGCATCTGCCCCTTGCCTCAGTGTCCTCACTCTGCCTAATGGTAGGGCCAACCTTCCCTATAGGATCTTATAATGGAAAATGGCTCACCGTGATGATCATTTCATTAGATTTAACATATATTGCAGTTAAAGCTGGAAATATTAACATAATCAGATGTGAACGGAGAGTTTGCCCACTCCCTTTATGCACTCCCCTGACGCAATGCTTTAATTTTCAATTGCTTTTCATGTGTCGGGTAGTTCCAGCCCCTCAATTAGTGTTTCCTTCTGCACATGATCCTATAAGCATTACCTTCTTTCTGACTATAAAGTTGTGTTTGATTATGACAATCAACATCAAATGGTCCTTGCTGTTTGGACTTCAGTTTTACTCCCAGGCAAGGTCAAAATGACTTGGCTTGCTTGTTTCCAGATAGAAAATTCCAGCACTGTATTTCACAAGTTGGGAGAGGGTGTGTGTATATAACCCCTCCTGTGTAAAAACAAACAAACCAAAACTTGACTTCCATGATGCTCCAGAATTGTCAGAATGACAAGGAGAAAGGCAGTGGCCCTATCCGGAGGACCTGGGGGGGGAGGGGGACAAACGAACTGGTCTGCCAGCATTCTTTTGTAGCAGTTGCTCTTCTAGCTGTAGGTTTTGCACGAAGTGTTTGTGTGCATGCCTGCCCCCCAGATAGCCTTCTTCCCACATCCTGTGATCAGGACCCCATCAGACACTGAATACTCGGGAGGCCATATACATAAATAGAGACATTAGTAAGATGAAGCTTATTCGGAATCTCTCTGGCACCAAGTCATGCTGGTTTCGGGGAAATGACCAACGGAGACTGCTGTATTTGTGTCTCCTCCCCCCCCCCGCCACCCTGTCCCTCTGTCTCTGTGGTGTCAGTTATTTATTTGTTTATTGTAATTCGTTTCTGCCTAAGGACACAAAGTCATCTGGATAGATTCCACGATAAAATAAACTTGACTAACACCACAAACAAGCTGCAGCTTGTGGCTGCTGATATGGCCGGAGATGGCTTGCAAAGATCTGGAAAGGAAACCCCAAGAATTTCTTCACTCCTAGCGCTGTTGTCCGTTGACTTTGCAATTGATGGGGACGGGGGTCCAGGCAGTCACCCAGTCTCGAGTGGGCACCACTGCGTCTAGGTCGCATATTAGCACAGAGGATTGACACTAGGAAGAAGCAAAATATTTCATTGCTTCCTACTCGCTGCATGTTGTAAGGGGAACATACATGCATATGGCAAGGTGCACGTTTATTTATTTATTCGGTGTCTTTTGTAGACCCCTTTTTTTTCTCCCAAAGTTGCTCTGAGCAGATGCTCTTTGTATAAGATAGGACAGGTTAAGTTCCATGGGGTGCATTTTCTTTATTACGATAAAATATATGTCAACACGGGGTAAAAGTGGATGGTTTTGCACCAAGCACCTCTGCGATACCAGTTTGTTGCCTCCGCTTGAACAACTAGCAACTTGCACAGCCGCAGGGGTAGTGATGTGCTCCGGTGTCACTCCATGATTTTTTTCAGCATGGTACCGATTTCCCCTGGAATGATATAGTAGCAGCCTGATGGAAAGAGTCCTCCTTTTGTATAGAGAGCCAAAGCTGTTGCATGGCATGTCAGCATCCATGTATCTGCGAGCTGTGTCTTCCATTAGAAAAGACAGAGCACTCCACACAAGCTCTCTTAAACGTGTTTCCAGAACAGCCTTTGATTTCCTGGGTTTTTTTCCCCCCCATAGGACTTCAAAGCCCATGTGATTCACCACTTGGCCGCCCTCGCTTTGATGTTCTGCTCGTGGAGTGCCAATTACATCCGCCTTGGCACCCTTGTGATGGTTGTCCATGACTCCGCAGACATCTTGTTGGAGGTAAAAGCAGCTGGGGGGGGGCTGATGCCTAGCATTTCTTTAACTTGGTTGCTTGGGGTTCTGCATTTATGGAATGGTTCCGACCCGTGTATTTGGAGTGGCTTAACATGCAGAACTTGCTCAGCGGAAAACCGGGTAGGCCTCCCGTGCATATTATATTCAATAGAAGCTGAGAACAGCAGGCTCGGGTTAAGAAAGAAAGAAAAAAAATCTGCAGTGCAATAATTTCAGCCATGCAATCTTTGCATGTGATCTCTCTCACCCATTTCATATATAGTTGGGCTGCTGTGGCATATGTGGAAGGGGAATGCTGGGGGGTGAAGCTGCTGTAACAGCAGTCCTTTACGATCACAGTCAGAGGCAGAGCGGGAGAAAGCTCCTTTTCTAGACTACAAGTCTTGAGAATCTTCCCTAGCCAGGGAGACATTTCCAGGATGGTCCAGGCTGCTAGAACTGTGAGTCCTCCGACAGCTGTGCCAGGGAAGATGTTCTGTGTATTCTCCTTGCCTGCCTAGATGACAGAAAAGCAGAGGGTCTGGGGCATAGGCAAGAAATCTTGGGAACTGCCGAAAGAACTACAGAAACTATACCAGCCTCTGCCTCTTGAGTCCCCAAAAGCCAAGGCGTCCTCGCCGACTCAGGCCGAGAGGAGCCAATGAGCTGCTTAAGTAGATGGGATTACTTTATAACCTGGGGTGGTGCTGCAGGCACCCCAGACCTCCCTCTGTAAGGAACAGCAGAACATCCCACAAAAGGCGGTAGAACATAGCATAGAATGTATCACAGAGAGAGAGAGAGAGACGCACACACATCCTGTTTGCTTCAAAAGCCGCAAGATAGCAAGGATGATGCATTTTATGGTTCAAAGGACAGAAGGGGTGATTAGGGGCAATGAGTGCCCGATGGTCTTTGGCTTTTACCCACCGTTGCTGCCAGTCCCAGGGCTAGGATGAAGGAAAACAGCCAGGAGTGGGGAGATGAATTGAGTGGGGGGGGAGAGAAGTGTGCAGGGGAGGGTTTCAACAGTCCCAGCCATCCTACTGCTTGTGCCCCTGAAATGGTGTCCCTCGTTTTCACTGTTTGTGGCTTGGCAGCAGAGGAAAAAGCAGCCCCTCCTGGTCTCATATGAGTGTTAAGACCGAAAGCAACTTACTCTGGCTCAGCAACTGAGCCCAAGGCTGAGGAAGGCTTTGAACCCATGGCTTTTCATCAGTCTCCATTGGCTGTAAGCTCTTCTCACATTATCCTAATGCCTCCTGATAACGTTTGCTTGGTATCTCAGGCAGCGAAAATGTTCAACTATGCTCGATGGGAAAACACCTGCGGCATCCTCTTTGTCAGCTTTTCCATCGTGTTCTTTATCACGCGCATCATCCTCTTCCCTTTTTGGTAAGTTGCTTTAAGGACCAGCTGATCCTGTGGCTCTGATCACGATGGCTATAAGTGATACCTAACTTCTGTTTTCTTTGTTGTTGTAATGATTGCCTCGATGGGCAGTGGTCCTGGGTGAGTGCTGATTGTCTTGTAGATTCTTTTTAAATTTATTTTATTTTTAATTTGTAGATATATTTTTTAATTACTGCTCTCGCGACTATGATGGTGACTAAAGCTTTAAAGATATAAATGAAGGAAGTGGTTTCTCTTTTTTTTCTTACTTTGACATTTTGCATTTCAGGATTCTACGAGCCACGATGTTTTATCCCATATACTATACCCAGACAATTGTCCTCGCATCTTTCTTCTTCAATGGGCAGCTATTGATCCTGCAAGGTCTGCATATTTACTGGGGCTATTTAGTTTTCAACATCCTGAAGAGATTCATATTCATAAAGGTAAAGAAACACAAATGTTTGTTTATGTATCATGGACAATTTTCACTTCAAGACTCTTTGATCAGTGAAGACCCTCCCAGTTCTCTTATTTATTTAGCTGCTTAGGATAATCCTTACGAGGCAGGAGGTTTTTTTTTGGGGGGGGGGGTTGAGTGATGGTCAGTGTGATTTTTTTTTTTACTACACCTCCTAAATTCCTTAGCCGGCATGGCCACTGGCCAAAAAAAGTGTCATTTCCCATTGTGATTTTTCCAGTGACATAGAAGGAAAAGCAAATGAGGCATGTATTTCAAGTAGAGATGGGGGTATTCGTATTTATGTACGAATATGAATATCCCTGCACAGGTAACATTAATGAAGGTTCGGCCCCATGGGGCCAGACGGTCCACTCACCGATCCGTCGCGGATGCAGATGGCACGATTCTACTAGTGGCTCCGCAGCGCATGATCCACTCTCCACTCTTCAACCTTGCAATGAGGCTTGTCCTCCTGCACCATCTGTGTCCGCAGCAGATCAGTGAGTGGACCGTCCATGGGGCTGGACCCTCGTTAACGCCACCCGTGCAGGGATATTCATATATAAATATGAACACCCCCATCTCTACTATTAAACCATGGTGACTAAAGCAGTGTTAGTAAAACAGTGGGTCTGCTCCAAAGACAGGAAGCAAATTTCTTAGCAGTTATTCAAGTGGCAAGAAACTGAAACCAGCAGGAAGAACCAATGGTGGGAGCAATTAAATTTGGGTGAACATTTCCAGTGACATGAAAATGAGCTGGATGCATTCTTGGTTTGTCTTTGTTGCTGCTGGTTGCAAAGAAGTGGATGGAATTATTTTAGCACGGTAGGTTCGGTGACAAAAAAAGCAAAAATGCATCAGCCACACTGGGAATGTTTTATAATGAGCATCTCACAGGGAAGGAGCTGCAGCTCCCTGATAGAGCATGTGGTTTGCATGCTGAGGGTCTTGGGTTCAATCCATTGGATCCGCAGGCTGGACTGGGAAGAGCCTTCATTCCGAAAACCTGGAGAAGGGACTAGGCAGTAATGAGCTAAACGGGCTGATGCTTTGTCTTGGTAGAAAGTAGCTTCCTGGGTAAGAGGATGAAGAAGACCCTAAGAGGCAGGCACCGTCGGGGTGCTTTCCATGATAGCTGCCCATCCTCCGTGATCACAATTTGATGACTTAAAATCCTGTTCCGTCAAAGCAGTCCATTGATGGCTTCACAAGACCTGTCTCCAAAAGATCAACTTAATCAGCCCCAGAAGTTTAAAATCAGCCATTTTAAACCCTGGTTTTTGTAAAGACTTTCTTGTTTGCCTTATAATATCTTTTCAAGTTAGATAAGTCAGTTGTAGATGTCTTTCTTCACCAGTTTTTTTTTAATTCTTAAAATGTATTATTTTCTTTTCTTGACGTTATTGTGGTTCAAGAATTTCAGTTGCTAAGCAGCACGTGTTGTTTCTTCAGGAAGGCAGAATATTGTTGTTATGCCTCCTTGATGCAGGCTTCTAGTATCACAAAAATTATGAAGTTCTGATGGTTAAAAGATAGCCATGTTTTAGAGGGGAAGTTTAAAATCTACAGAGAAATAAGGATGCGGAAGGACGTGCTAATTAAAAGCATCTTGCTAAAGGGAATCCATTGAGATTTAACGTTTCGAGAGCGGAATGAATGAATACAAAAGAACAGTGTTCATGTATCCTTGCTATCAAGGCACATGAAGTCATGACACATCTAGAAAAGATTTCTTAAAGGGCACCACTGTTGTAAAAATATACAGAATATACATAGGCAGGCCCTGGAGCCACACTAGCAGTGATGGAAAAAGCCGAGCTCAAAATAGCTCCTACGTGTCTCGCTCCCCTACCGTTTGTGATATGTGGTGGAATTTATTTTGGAATGGAAGCCAGTCTTGAAAAAGTGGGTTCTGGAGACAAATTTGACCCAAAACTCTGAACCAGGACTGTGGCCATGAGTAGCAGAGGCCACCAATGAATAAATATTTGACTTATTTATATCTCAAACAAGAAACTAATTATATCTTACTTAAAAGGAAAATAAAAAGGGGAAAAACCAGTGATTTAGCCAAGTATTTTAGATGGCAGTGTCTGGTGGCTAACGTGCCAAAGCTTTTAAATTGTGCCCAGTGCCTTGTGAAGTTTGAGTGAACTTGAAATAGACGCTACCCAGTTCTCCTGCTCCTGTCTTGAGATGCAGGTGCTGAGTACCGACTCTTGAAACTGGCAGATTAGTAGATGAGGTCTCTGAGTAGATATAAGGTGGAAGTTGTGAAATATATAAGATATATCAGTTTCTTCCTACGCCTAGACTATCTCTTCCTATTTGAGCTTCGCTGGCAAAACCTGCAGGACTCAGGCGCCAATTATTTAAACCAGTTATTAAAAGTGAATCCACTTGAACCTGACGGTTAGCGTGGTGCCACTTTTAACATCTTTCCTTGGCTCCTGGCCAAGTCCTGTTTTCCCCTGTGGCAGGATGGTGATGGACGAGTACACCTCTGCTAACGCAGAGCAAGGAAATGTGCAAAGAAATCGTGACGCGAAGCTTGCAAAGGAATAACAATCCATCTGAAAGTGCTTTAGCGACAAATTGGCCCTGCGCTAATTAGTTTTGGTTTTAGTTTTGGCCCGTTTGTATGTTCATATTTTCCACCCTTGGTCTCAAGATACACTTTTATTCCTTCTTTTTTTTCCCTTAAAAAAGGCATTTCCACATCACACTTAAATCCTTTTCAGAAAAGGTATTGTAACAGAGCAGTTCCCTCACCCAGTACTATATTTCATCATCTTCCTTGTACTGAGGGTGGAATTGGGAAAGCGGTGACTATTCCCATTTATTTTCAGTGTGATGTGAATTGATAACATAGATGGCTGAACCTTATAACAGATATTTCCAGCCCTGAGTGTTTTGTGATGTACTACTCGTGTGGTTTTATCTCCGTCGAGGAATAATTGTCTTTCTCTCCTAATTGGCAAATGACCAAATAGGATGGAAAGGTTACAGACATGCTAGGGAAAGTAACTGCTTGGTCGCTCAGTATAGGCTTTCTTGCAGCCTTCCGTTAGGTCTTCTTCAGATGTAATTTACACTGGGGCTGTTGTAAAGTATAGTACAGTATTAGACAGGATGGATTTGATTTAAATCAAATTGATTTAATCACAATTTAAATCATGGTTTAATTTTTTAAAATAAACAGATTTTTTAATGATTTAAATAAAAAAATAAAACTTTAGAATTTAAATTGTGATTTAAATCAATTAGATTTAAAAAAAAAAGATCATTGCTTCTTATCCACTCTGTTATTAAAGCATTTAATTGTTCACATGGTCAAGTCTAAATCCCATTTCAATTAATAAGTTCTTGCTGGTAGTTTTTTGGAATGATCATTACTTCTTATCCACCCTGTTGTTAAAGCATTTAGTTGTTGAAGTGTGCACATGGTCAAATCTAAATCTTCCCATCTCAATGAATAAGTTCTTGCTGGTAGTTTTTTGGAATTTCTCTTCTCGAAATTGGGGAGCAGCTGCTGACGGGTCTTCTTAATACCATCTTCTGAACGGAACAGGGGGAAAACGTCTTCCTCCCAGGAGGTCTAGCATCTTGAAAGCTACTGTTCACATGCTGGGTCACAGTCATTTTATAGATGATTACCCTTTCCAGGTGCTTAGGATTCCTATTCCAACTTGGGCTAAAATTGGCAATGACAAGGTAAGTTGCACCCAGCGTCTGCATGCCCTCCCTGGAAATGATCTGTTAGTGATTTTTCCCCCCATGTCTCTTCTCTTTCTCCAATGGAACCTACCTCTTTGGTGTCTCTTCTCTTTCTCCAATGGAACCTACCTGAATCACCAAACCAAACAGAAAAATGACTATTTACAAATCAAACTCTTGATTCACCCCTTCCACGATCAGTCCATTCTCTAAATGGAGCGTGATATTGATTCTCTCGCTGTCTGTACCAATCATATTTCCTAGCAAATCATCTTCTCCTCTAAGCTTCTTGTCCCAATTTGCTTGTTCATGCTGCCCAGCACAAATGAGAAACGGCTCTTTTCAGTCTTGATTCATAAGGAGTTGACTTACTCCAGAAGTGATGAAGATTTGCTGCTTGGGACAATTGTTGATTTGATTATCTCAAGTACTATACTTCTTTCTTCTCCTGGTTTGGGACAGAGTTCTTATTTCATGGTGGTTCAAAAAAATTGCTCAAATGCCATTTAGGACACTGGCTGGTGAACCATTCTTTTGGCTCAATTTTCACTTGGGGGTGGGGGTGGGATAGAGCAACAGCCTGACCAGATCCAGTGTCACGTCTTGATTTGACCCGGGTGTATCTCTCCAGTCTAGACAATTCTGTTTTTCCAAATGGTCATATTTGGGAGTATGAGAAAGTAAAGGACTGCTCCATTTCCTCTTCCGAAGTTTCAATTAAGGTAATTGTAAGAAAAGGGCTGCTGGTGGTGACCACTTTCACCAAGATTTGTTCAACTTTTTAAATGTGACCATACGTGCTATCCAAGATAATGAAGTCTGTGGAAATGAGTTACATAGGCATGTTCTCTACTCTCCTGTCTTCTTAACATGGCTGAACTTTGACTTTGCTTGAACATGGTTTCACTTTGACATCCACCTTTTCCATATATTTTGTGAACACACATGGGATGATTGCCAGCTATCCAGTCCTTTTCCTCTGACAGTCTCTCTACTCCCCGGCCCTTTCTACTCTGAGTTGGGGAAACTCAAGGAAGGCTCCAGGTGAGAGAACTGTGCCTCTCAAGTTGTTTTCCTTCCACTTCCTGGCAGGCAGCCACTTTCCTGCACTTACCTCCATTCCCACCCTCGCGCACACAGACACAGACACAGACACAGACACACACACACACACACACACACACACACTTTCTGACTTCCAACACTAGGAGTTCGGCAAAGTGGTTCAGACACCAGAAACAAAAACCTAAATTTCCACAGTACACAAAAATCTACCCAACCCCTGGATAGAATTTTATTAAAGGAAAAAAAAATAGATAGTTACTCAAAACCTATTGGAACACAATCACAATGCATTACAAAACCAAAACCCATTGGAACACAATCACAACGCATTACAAAACCAATCTTTGCTCTTTCCAAAGGAGGTACACACTTAGGAACATAGGATAGCCTAGACTTTACTTATTCCTTTACTTATTCCTTATTCCTGTTATCTGAATAAGGTCTATTCCCATGCAAATAGATCTATTCCTGGAGAGATGGAAGCCAGCCTTGCCCCTAACATAAGAACGCTGCCTTTTCTTCCCCCATCTGCCTGTTTCAGTCTTCTTTATAGAGAACAAGAACCTGATATCACAGACACATCAAGTACCACCATCAGGACTGATCCTTTGAAGTCTCCTGACTAATTGCTCATCTCCTTCATGGGGTTTAATCCTTTGGTAACGATTGCCATGCCCTCTGGACAGGAAGGCATTTTCCCAGAGATGTAAGGTTCATATCAGGGCCTGTTTTGAACCAGTTCTCAGATTGTCATTGTTACTGCCATCCTCTTTCTCTGGATTATTTTGTCCACTTTATGCCAGCGCTTCACCATCCCAGTAGTTATACAATCTGAAACATTTTTGGGCTGTGTCCCTTCAGGCAACATAGAGTCGGTCAGGGGAGAATTCCTCCTATTTGAATCATCCAACAAGAAAAAAAAATTATTCCTTGCACGTAGATAATAAATAGAATGTCAGAGTAGTTACTAGGCTGAACACTTCCCCCATCATTCTAATTTTGTGTGTTCAAGAAGCTTTGGTAATACAGGAGAAGTTATTATCTAATTATTGATCTTTGTAAGCATCTTGGAGAGCTTGTTCTAATAGAAGAATTGGGGAAAGTTCCTTAAATAAATAAGGAACACCTGCATTCACCCGCCTATAGCCTGGTGAGGTACAAGCAAGGACAGGATTTACTGCTTGACTGGGTTGATCGCATATATAGTATCTGTCCTACTCTTGATCCATGTCCTCCAGAATAATGTACTGCATTCACATTGCTAGCGCACCTTCATTTTTAGTTGAATTCTGTGACATTCTGTAACATTTCCATCCTCTACCCGTTGATTCAAATTCTTTCCATGCTAAACAGATGAACTCTGCCTAAGGAACTTACTTTCCAAGCTGGTCCTGTGACCCAGCCGGGCTTGGCTGTGGCTTTTTTTTTTCAGTCGGTGGACAAGATTTTAACACTCTCTGCTGCTCTTGGCCTGCCCCACTTCTGACTGGCTGTATTAATATTGGGCGACAATTCGGTTTTCCTTTGGCCAGCCAAGGATTCCATGGAATCAGGCATTTCCGTGCAGTGTGTAGCTTCCCTTCTTTTTTTCACGGCTTTCTCTTCAAGCCAAACCCTTGGCTTTCGTGCCATGTGTCTTTCTTCTGGAATATGTTTCGTGGACTTCCAGTTGGCTGCCGTTAGATCACGATCCAGTGCTGTAGTTAGGAGCACTAAAGATGAATGAGAGGTGGAGAAATCTTACTGGAGGGAAGCCACAGATCACCAGCCAGTGGATTCGTTTCTGTTCGCAGGAGAGAAAGCGAAAAGCCCGGTGCTTTGATATTGGCTCACGGACCTGTCCGTTGGGAGAGTTGAATTGCACATCTCGTGAACGGGAACGTTCCAAAAAGCTGCATGAAAGTCGGCGAATGTATATGTTCTCACACTTGCTTCCCATGGTCCCGTTCTTCCTAAAAGCTGGTCTGACAGGTTGATTGAGAAACAATGGTTTGCCACCCACACACCATATGTTGCTATGTGCCGGACCAATCTCTGGCGAAGGCAATGCCAGTTTCAACAGGCTTCTTCTTTGACTCACTTCCCTGCAGACTTTATTAGCCCGGTGCTCTGTACAGACTTTCCTTCGCTCAGAGTACTTGTCAAAAATCCTGGATGGAAGATGTATTCTTTTAATTTCCTGCACAGTCTTTGACTGCTGCAGCTTCCTCTTAAACGCCTTTTTCAGAATCCAGGCAGCTAATGGAAATAGTGAAACCATAGCCATGTACTTGGGGATTCTTGTCTGGATACAGCAGGTGGCCACCAAGCTGGATTTCTTAAAGACGGACAAAGCTCGTTTGCAGAAGAACACTTGGAGTCTTGTAGGAAAATAATGCTCAGAAGTTCTGCACTGTGCATGTTTTGCTACATGGGATGAAAGAATATTGGGCTCTTTGCCCTGAAAATACATTTGCACAATTCTGATTTGTGCAAATACCATGTAAGAGTATCTAAGGCAGATTATTCCAAATTCAAGATGAATTGAAAAAAATGTATTCGGGAAGGCTTTCACAGCCAGGATCTAATGGATGTTGTGGTTTTTTCGGGCTCTTTGGCCATGTTCTGATCTCTCTAGCATTTGCATTATTTTATTATTATTTATTTATTTTTGCATCCCGAGATGGCTAGTTTCAGAACTCAGAAAATGCTGGATCTCTCTAGCATTTGCATTATTTTATTTTTAAATTATTTATTTATTTTTGTATCCCGAGATGGCTAGTTTCAGAACTCAGATCAGATGATTGAGTGCAGAGGAAGAACCCATTGCATCTCAAAGGACTCAGCCTGTACAGACAACATTTTTTTTATACAGCCCTGGCACTTGCGAAAATGCCCATGCTGGCGCCCTGCAGGTGTGTAGGGTTACAAACACCATCATCTCTAACAACATGATTGGCTAGGAAAAGAAAAAGCTCCATTCCAGTATCTCTGCTGGGCACAGTTTGGAGGAAGGCTGCCCCCCGACATTCTGCAGCTACTTTGCTCGGTAAAAACACACCGACCAAACTTGACAATCTGTTTTTCGGGTAAGCAAGCGTTCATAATGTGAGCTAAAGTCTCCTAACAAGGAACCTTTAGCTCAACTCTAAGCTTGGTCTTAGGGTTAAAAAGTCAGTTCAAAGCAGCACCGAAATGCTTATTATATTGTCCCTTTGTTTCATTGCCAACTGTGGATTTATAATTGGACTCATTTGGGAAGCAGTGGGACACTGTGACTCACACAGCATCCCCTGGTCTTTTGACTTTCTCCCAAAGCCCCATAGCCTGGAGTAGCGAGTGAATCCTGATACCAAACCTATCAGAATTTATGTAAACTCTGGAACACCTGATGAACAGTTAAAAAGGGAAGGGATTCTTCAAAATCGTTCTGACTCGACTGAGTTGAGCTGAGCTGTAATAAATGTACTTGCTTGTTTCATAATCGGGGAGGGTCACCTTGCCGAATCGAGAAAACTGAGAGGCACAGAATAGGTGGTGATTTGTTTTAGGTTGCTGATATAGTGCTAGTTTGCAAAGGCCTATCCTCAAGTTAAGAAAAGAAACTAAAGTAAATTTTTTTCGTACATGAATGGGAAATAATGTTTTTAACAAAAATTTCACTGGGAAGAAAGCAAACCAGTTGATCTTTTAGAGCAGTGGTCCCTCCAGACGTTCTTGGACTTCAACTCCCAGAAATCCTGGCCAGCAGAGGTGATTGTGAAGGCTTCTGGGAGTTGTAGTCCAAGAACATCTGGAGGGCCAAGTTTGGGGACCACTGTTTTAGAGTGTTGACAATCAAATGGATTCTCCTTTCCAGTTGTGGAGTGTTAACAATCAAATGGATTCTCCTTTCCAGTTGTGTTGGGAGCTTAAATTGTACTATGGCTAGAATGGTTTGCTCATTTGCTTGGGAGCAAGCCTCATCGGTAGAACTTCATGGTGAGTAAAGCTGGCTGGATTGCTCTGTGATTTTTAGGTATCTGACTGTGGAGCCAGAGGTTAGGAATTCAGTCCCCCCAATGTGCCTCCTGGCAGGAGAGCTGGCCTGTAGGCAAGCTGCACAATCCCAGGGCACCCTTAGAAGAAAAGAAAGGATCTTAAAGGCTTCAGCTATGGACCGCATCTTATTGACTTGCACACTTGCAGGACAATCATCACACAAGCATTGCTTGTTCTTTTTCTAGCTGTTAGTTGTGCACCTGGTTGTACAATAAGTCATGTGACAGAGAGCTTCAAATCCACAAAACCTGCTTGCATATCCTTCCACATAGAATAAATACAACAGGATTCCACCTCATGTCTGCAAAAGGTCATTTCCTTCCTATCTTATTAAATCTGCACCTGCTCTGCCTTAGCCTACAGAGTTTTTAACAACAGGCGTTGTGTGAATGTTGTAAGAAGCAACCAGAAGCCATGAGGTCACATGTTTGTTCCCCTGTGGCACTGCACCTGCTCTCATGTGAAGAAACATTTGTTTTGTTTTTTGGGTAGCTTCTTTGATTTCATCCAATACGCAGTTTTGGGTCACTGGAGAGAAAGAGCAATCATTTTTGCTGAAGTGAAGTTCCTGGATTTGGGGCAGGATGTTCATTGTCATGTAGCCTGATCATATTTGTATTTACTCCGAAGAATGTTTGTTTACCAAGCATTACTCCAGGCAAGGTGGCCATTTCTTATGAGTGACATATTCTCTTAAGCATAAAGGGCTGTGGAGGTCCTGGAGAGTGGGAGGAGGTGCAGAAGCCAGAGCAACATCAGTGAAACTGTCTGTCTGTCTGTCTGTCTATCTATGTCTCTCTCTGTGTGTGTGTCTGATACCCCCTTTCCCCTCCCTCTCCAAAAAAACCCTTTTCTTTATTATGTCTCTTTGTGATATCTCTCCTTCCTTCCACCTCCTTCTTCACCCCACTCACCCCATTTACTCGGCCGTACGGAGAAGCGACAAGCCAATCCTACCACAGCTCTAAACAGACCACTTGTAGATGGACCAGCGCTGGCTCTACGGCTTGGAAACGGGGATGAGCACCACGCCGTAGAGTCAGACATGGCTGGACTAAATGTCAAGGGGAACCTTTACCTATCAATCATGAGAAGTATTGTATCTATATACTGTAAATGGGGAAAAGAATATAACTTTATTCTGCTTTGATCAGACTTTGCCTGGAATACTGTATCCAGCTGTGAGCACCACAATAAGAACATAAGCAAGAAAGATGTCTTCAAATTTCTGATGGGCTGATACATGAATGAAGAGGCAAACTTGAAAACCGGAACCAAACGGTTCAAACTAAAGGGAGAAAGGTTCAAGAGAAACATTGTGAAGAAATTCCTCATGATAAGAGTAGTTTAACCAGGGAATGGACCACCTTGGATGTCAAACAGCTTCTCTCCATAAGAGGTGTTTGAAAAGGGGTGGAAGGCTGTTTTTTTGACAAGAATTGTATTGGATGGCCCTTGAGGTTCCTTCCTTCTCTATATTTCTGTGATTCTGTGTCTTGACCCAAGACAGGAAGGCAAGCCAGGTTTCTGTCAAGTCATCTTCTTCTGCGTTCAGCACCTATTTCCCTCTCCTCCTCCTTCTTCTTCTCCTTCTCCTCCTCCTCCTCCTTCATTTAGAATTTGGAGGGTTTTCCTCCTCTGTCTTCCTGGGAACTATTGTCCTTTCCCTCCCTAGTCCCCCCCCCAAAAAACAACAACAAAAGTTTGCATTTAGTTAAGTGCAAAGTGGAATTCTACTCAGGAAGCACCAGTGGGCGATTTAAACAAAATGATACCTCATCAGTTGTCTGTGTGAGGAAGGTTGCTTTTCCTTTCCTTTATCTGATGATGTGCCAAGTTTATCCTACAGTATTTACAGTACAGTTTGTTTGTTTGGATACCCTCCGGTGCATCATGGTGGAAAAGACAAAAGAGAGAACCCCAGGAAGTTTATGTTGCGAGGTCAAGTTGGAAGAGTTTATGCTTTAATTTTCTTTTCTAATCTCAGTGTTGTTTTCTTGGAAAGCTAATATACCGATGGGTGGATGAGTGGGCATGCAAGACTGAAATCAGCCTGGCTGCAATCATAGGCGTCTTTTATCGGTGCATATGAATTAGCAGTTGTAGCTGACAAACTTGAAAGCCCAGCAAATGAAGAGCTGTGCTTATATCATGGAGCAGGATGGGTATTGGTAGTAAAATAAGATTCTTTCCCTCGCCTGGTTAGGCTGAAATGCTCTATGTACTTATCTCTGAGCAAGACTCTGTGAAGCTTATTTTTCCATGTACATTATTGGAATATGCTTCATCTTTGACGTTCAGTGGGAGAGACTGATATTGAAAGGCTCAAGATATTTTCACCTGCAAGAACCTAGTGAATGGAGGCCCACAAAGTATCCGCTGGTGGGCGGATTGTCCCTTGGATCTGTCCAAGTTGGCCACCCCTGACTAAGCTCCATTACTTGCTCCCTAATGACTGGAAGACCTTTATTTCCCCCTTGTAGTACATGATTTGGGTTCATTATTTATCTGGATCATTTGCTTTTCCAGTCCTGGCATCCTGAATTGTTTTGGATCACACCTGACAATTAGCCTTGCCAGTCTGGAGGATCCAGATTGAGAAGAGACTCGCGTTCTGAACTGGATAATCAGTTGGGCTGAAGCATCTCTGGTTTGAGAACACCTTCTGTGTTCCTGGCTTTTGTGTACTGTTGGTTAAAATTTTGTACAGATGTGTGTTTTTGGACAACAACTTGCAAAATGCCCCAAGCAGGTCAGGCAGATAATAAGAGAATTCTGGTTCTCATGGAAAATTCACTAGCCAGTTTCCAGACTGATTTTAGCTTTTGATTGCACTCCAAAGTTCATGTCGTATGTCCTCCATATGCAGCAAGCACCTCTTTGAATAATCAAGACTCATCTGCTTTCTGATCATCACCTGATTTCTTTATCCTTGTGTCTGCTTTGCTGTTACCACAAAGCCGTCAGTACTGCATGTGTTGGTTTCTGTTCACGTTGGTAAACACTCTTTTCCCCCCCTAGAATGTGAAGGATGACAGGAGTGATGAAGAAGAGGAGGATTCATTCAGTGATGCCGAAGAGGCGTGCATGAAGAACGGAAGCAAGAATGGATCGAGCCATAGTCTGCTGAACCACAGTCATTAGCACATGCCCAGCTCTGTCTCCCCGTGGTGTCGTTTTTTGTGCCTATAACGCATCCTACCGTAGAGAGCTTAACGTCAACATCTTAACTGGAGTCTGTGATTGATTTTATTGCCGGTCACTAGAGCTGGAAGAGAGCCCAGATTTTAAAAAGAGTGAAAATAATTTGCTTAACTCAACAAAATCTACTTAATGGCCTGCTTTCTAATAATGCTGTATGGGGGCATATAGGCAAATATGACCTTTTCAACTCTTTCCAATGCTCAGTGGTTTCCAGGTGGTCTTTGGACACCATTGCTTCAGAATGAAATACTCGTACATCTAAAATATGATAAGACATTGTCTTTAATAATGCTGTAATGTGATTCAAGAAGTGTGGGCATGGTGCAGATTATTCCATTAAGGATCTGAACAGTTTTATGCAAGAGAAAGCCTTGCTAGTCAAATTTTTTTCAATAAAATATTTGTTAACAATTTTTTAAAAAACAGTTTTTGAGCTTCAAGCCCTTATCGTTGGGTTAATCCTCTGAGAACTGGATCTAATTTCCTCTTGGCAGATATGTCCATAGGAAGAGGCAATATAGAGTAGCATCTGTCGAGATCCTTCATACCATTTTCCTCTAGTCTAGATTGACCTATCCATCAGTGTTTTACTTGATGATGGTGATGCAAGATTTTGTGAACTAGAGGGTAAGCTTTGATGGAACAGAAGCAACCTCAGAGATCTTGTGATGTTTGAGGCTGTCTAGTAAGTTAGAACCAACAGCCCCCTGGAGTTAATATGAATAAATATCTGTAGAAGGTTCAGATCTGTAGAAATGGAAAAGCTGTCAATTCTGCACCGTCAAACAGCTGCTGTCAATGAGTAGTCACCGCCCATTAGCTGCTTTAGGAAGGAGGAACATTTTCATTGTTATGCTGATTGCTGGAAAACCCAGTGCTCCTCTGGGCTTTTGAAAGTCAACACACCAGCAACATTGGCATATTGTTTGATTCCTTTCTTGTTTGAATCTATTGTTCGAATCTTTTCTTTTAGAAAGTTGTGCTCTATAGACTAATGTTTTTGGGCTGAGTCAGCATCAGAGCAAGGCTGGGAGCCAGGAAATTACAGATGAGGGGCAAGCATGGAGCCAGAATCAAGGAAACCACCCATGTGGGAAGAGATAACGAAAGAAAGTACAGAAGGAGACGCCTCTTAGGATGTTAAAGACTGTGCCTAGAAGGCAGTTAGGAAACATGGAGCATGAATGATTATGGGAAGAGATAACGAAGGAAAGTACAGAAGGAGACGTACAGAAGGAGACGTCTCTTAGGATGTTAAAGACTGTGCCTAGAAGGCAGTTAGGAAACATGGAGCATGAATGATTTTTGTCAGGAGCTTTCCATGTTTCCTCTTAATCTCCATTTTGGAATTATGAAAATCAGACACCATCCTCTTCAAAAGAGTGGTGCTCCTGTGTGTTCAAGAGGGTGGCGAACCTCTCCCTTTGTGCAAAATGTCAGCAAAAAGACAGCTCTGTACACAATGGGGCATTTGCACACGAGGTTAAAATGAGCACAATTTTGATGCTATTTCTTATGTTTGAGTCAATCTTCAATGTGCTGGTTAGCTTGAGTTGTTGTTGTTGTTTTTCCCCCCTGTAATTTGTATTGCTTTTGTTGGTCCCCGATAAAGACAACTTCATTTGTACATCTGATCTTTTGGGGCATCTACTTTGAAAGACTCACCTGCCTGGAGGGAAAACGTTATAAGAGCAAGTCATGACACAATTCTTTTCGTGTATGATCTGACCTAAGATTTCTTTCAAGCTTCAAAAATCCCTCTGCGGCTACTAAGTGGTCATGAAGTGAACCCAGAGCAGCTCTTTCTGAAGGTAGGGTGAAAAAAATAATCTTGTTTGGCACTGCATCTTGCTCGGGTCATTTCTGCCAAAGGAGAATTGGAGGTAAATTGTCAGGTAAGGTGCTCCTTCACGAAGCTCAGTTTTGGATTCTTGATGCTTTTCCCCATTGTTTTGTAATAAGTGTACTTTGAAGTGTCCTTTCCCCTACCTGGAAATCTCTCCTTTGATCTACAATTAGCAACTTGGTGCTGGTCTAGATATTTTTGAACGATCTCTGCTATCAACTGGGGTTAAGGCAGTTGTAGTACATGATTATGGGGGTTGAAACTGAAATATCTGGAGAGCACTAGGCCCCCTAACCCTGCTCTCAGCGATCCTCTAAGGCAGTGGTCCCCAACCTTGGCCCTCCAGATGTTCTTGGACTACAACTCCCAGAAGCCTTCACCACCACTTCTGCTGGCCAGGATTTCTGGGAGTTGAAGTCCAGGAACATCTGGAGACCCAAGATTGGAGACCACTGCTCTAAGGATGACAGCATCTCTGGAATCCACAGCTACCCTAGTTTCAGGTTTTAGGTTTCTTTCATGGCCCTGGAAATGAGGGATATGTTCAGCCTTTCCTGCATGTAACAGATTGGGGATGTCTAGGTGGGTTTCTACCCATCACCTGCCAAGAGTTCCTTTCCTGTTTGCTTTTTTAAAATAGCTGAATTGTCCCTTAAGTAATTGTATGCCATCAAGTCAATTCTGACTTACGGTGATCCGTTCCAGGCTTTTTAAGGTAGAGAATACACAGAAGTGGTTTCCCTTTCTATTTTTCTTGAGGCCATCATGGAATTATGTAGATTGCCCAAGGCCACCCAGGCTGGCTCTACTCACGGGGAGACACAGTGGGGAATTGAACTCTCAACCTCTGGGCTCCACAGAGAGATGTGTGTGCCCACTGTTTTTCTTCTCAAAGAAAGATCCAGATTGTCAGACAATCCTGGGCCCATATCTCATACAGCATAAACGACTGGATAGCTCTGTTTATCAGACTGCTTTCGATCTCTGCCTGCTGAGTCAAAGGTTGGGAGTTCAATTCCCCCAAATACAGCATAAACGAATGGATAGCTCAGTGCTTTAGATCCCTGCCTGTGGAGCCAGAGGTTGGGAGTTCGATTCCCCCACTGTGCCCCCTTTGATAGGGGCTGGACTGGATGATCCACAGGGTCCCTTTCAGCTCCGCAGTCCTAAGATTATTTTTGTTGTTCTATAAAATTGGTATATAACAGACAAAAGTTTTGGTTTAAGCAGCAGCACGTATACAAATCTTACGTCTGAGAAGGGAACAGCAGGAGCCATTAGGACATGGCACAAAGGAGGGAGAGGGGATAAACCAGTGCTTGCCGGATGACGTGCAAGGGAGTCCACCAGGGATGAAGGAAAACATTTGTCCAACTGGAATAGGTCAAAATACAAAGGACAAGAAAATCTGTGATCCAGTAGAAGTGTGTGAGAAATTAGTGCTGTTACTATCTTGAGAGTTCTAAAAAAGGAGGAGGGGTTTTCAATTTAAGACATTACAAGAGTCCTAGACAAGTTTTTCAATAAACATATTTTAAAATGCCTGCGTGTTCTTTAGTCCTCTTCATATATGTCAGTATAATGGTGATGCCTCGCTTTTTGTTTGTGATACTTCTCGTTTCTCCAAAGTAATTTTAGGGATGGGCATGGGACGGGTAAACATTTTGGATTTCATCCGTTTTGAGTTTTCTTGGAGGAGGATGCTTCATGCGTTTTTGGATACCCATCATTTTGTTAAATGTGAAAGGGGCTGGTGGTTTTGGGTTCTGTTTATCACTTGCCCAAAGCCCTCCCCCTTAAAGATCCCTTCTTAAACTCATTTTTAAAAAGAAGAGGCAAAACAGGCAACAGAAAATTGGTTCAAAAGAATGAAAGAACTACTTAAAATAGCAGGGGTAAGGCTGTCGATCCATGGTAAATTAATAAATAGCACTTAATTTTTTTTTAAAAAATTGATCTAACAGGAAATTGACTCACACACATGCATACTGGGTGGCAGGGGAGTTAAAATACAACAGTGTCTCCTCTCTAAAAACAAGAAGGGCAAAGATGTGAATAAGGCCAAAAAATAAAATAAAATCAAAGTCAATGTATTCGCGAAGGCTTTCACAGCCGGGATCTAATGGTTATTGTGGGTTTTTCGGGCTCTTTGGCCGTGTTCTGAAGGTTGTTCTTCCTAACGTTTCGCCAGTCTCTGTGGCCGGCATCTTCAGAGGACTGGAGTCGGAACTCTGCCTGTGCTCTGGTGCAGGCAGAATTATATAAACATACTGAATCTTGTCTTCTGATCCTATGAATAAGCCAAGTGAGAGACTTCATGCATCTTGTTGTTCCATGTGTATGCATATGTGTGCCGATGGAATCAGAGGCGTCTGTATCTCTGTAATACTAATCTGCCCCTAAGATGTTTAATGATTAAAAGAGAAGATGTGGGTTTTGGCTGAACGCAGCTTGCAAACTGTGAACAAGAGAGGGGAAAGATCCCTGCATTTTGCTGATTCTGAAAGAAAAACATTATCTCCACAGGCATTGTTGTCCAGTTCCTTCAGCTGCAAATCCACAGAACTTTGATGATCATCAGTCGGGCCATTTAAAATAAAACAGAGAGAAATGGATGTACAGAAGATGAGTATGGAGGCATGAATTTAGAGAAACCTAATCGGTATGAAAAAGCCACAGAGGTTGGCCAATTGTAGCTATAAGTTCATTCTAGGGTGTGAGCCATTGGTTTTCAAAAAATGCGGGTGTTTAATACAAGGACTAGAGATGGGCACAAACTGATGGTTTGGTGGTTCGAGCTGGTTCGTTTATTGGCAGGTGTTCGGAGCGTCAAAGCTCTGCTTCTTCTGGCAGGCACCTGCTTGGAAGGAGTGGCCTGGCTTCCCTGCCCCGCCTCCTCTGGGCGCTGCCTCTGAGTGGGTGGCTGCCAGAGGAGGTGGGGAGTTAAAGTGCCGAACATTTGTTCGCCCAATAAACAAACTGTCACAAATTGCCAAACCCGTGGTTCGCGCCATCTCGAACAGGGACCAAATAAAAGTGTCCATTAAGATGCTCGCCATAATTTCTCTGTGATGCAAACGTGAAATGTTTTCTAGAAGTTCGGACTTAAGGTAACACTTAAACTGATGAATTGGGTGCCGTGCAGCCACGCTTCCTCTTTGGTCTTCCCAGACCCTAGATCTTCCTTTTATTTAGAACATTGCTTTGGGAAAGCCCCCACTCCCCATGACGAAGAATCGCAGGTGCCTCCATTTCTACCCTTAATGCAGACTTGTGAAGGGGCAAGGGTTTTAATGGCTCAACGTTTGTGATTTGGATTTCAGAGAGATGGCTGGGGAGTGGGGGTGGAAGTGGAGGGAATTGGCCAGAACTCTTGAGACACCTGCAAAGAGGTGGGTGGGAACCCGGCCTCTTTGCTTTCCACTCTTGTCTTCTAAGCCAGTCTGGATCTTAAGCACCAGAGAGGAAGTGAAGACCTTGACATTAATCCCTTGTCAAAGAGTGGGATTCCCAATCAAAGGGTTGGGGGAGATCAAAGGCATCTAATCTCCCTCCTCCCTGACCGTAGAGAACTCCAGTAGGGTTCTGAAAGTTTATTTAACTGATGGTTCCCCTTGGCAGGATTACTGGAGTTTGTGGGCTTATTATAAGGTAAAGTTGAAGAAATTGCCCAGCACTTAGACTTTTCCTTCATTCCTCCCTCCCTTCCTTTCTTCCTTCCCTCCTCCCTTCCTTCCTTTCCTTCCTTCCAAATGCAAACTCAGGACATTCCTCTTTATGTACTATGTTGCCGACATTCAGCTGCTCCTGACTTTGGGAAGAATACCTTCTTTTTAATCAGCTGGAAACATCCATGTAGTCTGTCATTCTCACCTGACTTTCTGCATCATTACTTGAACATCACTGGTGAAAAATCATTGGTTTCTCTGGCTGGACTCACATTTTCTCTTTGAGTTCAGCTCCTTTGGCAAACCAAGGCCTTTCTAATTTTTTGTATTTGGGAAGCAGCATGTCCATTTCTGGGTACCCTGTGTGATATATTGAACAGAGTCATGAACGAGGAGTCAGGAGAACGGATTCCCCGCCTCTGAAAAGGAAAATCACTGGTAGGTAGAATTAGTAAAAACACTCTTCTAATACCTCACTTACTTTGAAAATGCCATTAATAATAATAATAATATTCTGTGCATCTCAGAAGAGCCAGCCTGGGTAGCCTTGGGCCAGCTGCACAGTCCCGTAATGCCCCCAGAAGACAGGAACGGCAAACCACTTCTGTGTATTCTGTACTGAGAAAACCCTGAGAAGGTTTGCCCCAGGTTGAGATCAACATTAAGG